ACAAGAACTGGAGCAGCTGCCCATGGCAGCCAATCAGCTTCTCTCATCGTTTTGTACAGTTAAGATTTGAAAATGAAAGGTGGATGCTGATTGGTTGCTCCAGACTTTTTCGGCTCCAGTTTTGATAAGTTCCCCTCTAGGTGTAACTTATCAGTCGCAGCGCCTGTCAGGTTGCGCTATTGGCAATGCAGAATACCGCCAGCTATGGAGGACTACAAATCCCAGCAACACATTACACAGCAGTGCAGGATATTATGCAGCTACATACTCTGTGAGATCTACAAACCTCTGCTGTGTCTGCCGCTCAGAGCATTGATCCCATTGTGGCAGATGAATAGCCAGGCAACACGCATTGTCAGGAGGAAGTCATCATCGGCAATGTCGGGTTAGGGATTCCTAAGCAGTCGGCAACACGCATTTTCAGATTGAGAAGTCAGATGCAACAGCCCCCATGTGATTCATCTCCCGCCGCCACAGATCTGGTCCTCTGACATTTCCCCGCTCAGCCCCCCCCCCCCCATAGTCCACAACCAATAATGTCCATGTAAGAGAATACGACATGTGACCTGGCTGAGGAGAGCTGCTCTCTGATTGGACAGGAAGTTGTACAAAGAGCTGAGCTCAGTCCAGGACCGCACACGGGTGACCCCATCACTGCCCACAATACCAATGTACCTGCGGGTGCAGAGCGCCCCCAACCAGCCACATACAGGAAGTTGTACTGTGCAGAAGGGTGTATCATGGGGCGCGGAGATCTGTTATACGTGCCGAGCCCTCAGGAGACATTTCCTTCTATTGCTTAATAATGAGGGGAGGGGGAGGGGCAGCAACACCGGGTGTCATTCTCGGTATCTGTTCTTATTCTGTATGTACGGACTCTGCACAGTACCACTTCTCTTGTCCTGTATGCCGGGGGTCATTCTCAGTATTTGTGCATATATACACACAGAATAAGAACTGATACTGAGAATTGGGGTGTTGTGCGTCCTCGGCAGTGTTTTGGTGATATAATTCCCCTGTTATGTAATGTGTTCTGCACGGCGGCGCAGTGATTTCCGGGGGAGTTGTGTTTTGGTTTCATAGAATCGTGTTGTGTGGAATGTCAGGAATGGAATCTTACCGTCTATTAGTTGTTCTCCTGCAGATGGTCCGGGTTCTATTTTTACTGTAGTGCAGATAGAGGGACAGAGAGGGGATTGGGGTATAATAGAGGGACAGAGGGGGGATTGGGGTATAATAGAGGGGCGGAGGGGGGATTGGGGTATAGGGGAGGG